GACCCCCAATTACTTTGCAGTATTGAGAATAATTTTTAGATGATAACAAGTCATTCTTTATTTAAAAATTGAATCTAAAAGTTCATTTATTGCTCTATGTTCTATTAAAATTTAATTTGGTATTTCTCAAGTTCAATTATATACTCATTCCAAAAAATCCAAATATATAAATAAGAAGAAAATATTTCTTTTAACAAAGTAGGAAAGAATATATTTTCCATTGTAAATAGTCTGGTTATCAAAAGGAAGAAAAATTATAGGGGTTTCATTTGATAGACTCTCTTAGTGTGTCAGATGACGGAAAGGCACAAAGAGAAGTGGCTTGGAGTTATTATATGGTACAAGGGTAGTGAAAATCTAGAAATTATTTTCAATTTTAAAATAATGTTACCAATTTAGATGTCCAAGCCAAATGTTGGACAGGCTAAAATGCATTTGCAGAGAATTTCTCACTACACTATTGTTTTGTCATCACTACTTTTGACAGAGTAACTACAGTTTATAGCTTGGGGCAAAAGGAGTACTGTCTCCACAGTCACACTTGTTGCCACTGAGTCCCTGATCACCACTTACCAGCTGTGTGACATCAGGAAACCTACTGCAATTGAAAAGGAGCTTGGTATCTTCATCTGAAAAATGGGAGCACTCAGCTCAATAACTCATAAAGATGAAAAGAAATAAGCAACTAGCATATACTAAGTCCTCAATGAATGTCCTACATTACTATGTTATTATTATTACATTGCTATTTTTTATAATGGTATTATTTTCCATATCCTTAGCATGAAATTACATTAAATACGATAAAAATAAGAAAAGTAACCATAAAACAATATTTACGTAGTTGTCATTACCACCAACCAGAGAGACTATAAATATTTACTATGGTTCCATCTCATTTCTCAGACAGAATTTAGCAACCTCTTTTTCGGTCTATGTGTTTGACAACATTATTTATAAGTCAGTCCTCTAAAAGTAGTTAGAATGACAATGATATGTTTGATAAAACAATAAGGAGAGAAAATAAAACATTGTACTTATTTATGTGCCCTGCCCAAAATTATCTATCATCATTCCATGATAAATTCAACCACTCTAAGAAAACTCCAGGCTGACCCTCATTGACTAGTTGTCTGAGGAACACTTGCTCCATGAATATGACAATAAAGGACTCTATTCTCCGCTCTCAAGTTAAATGCACATTTTATTTTTGCCACAAGCAGAGGAGGAACTGTAGGAAGCCGTGGTTCCTATTTTAAAGATCTGCATCTTTAAGAGAATGGAATTGATAATTTGACTTATGAACTGAGGATAGATATGCTATCTAGTCAAGTTTCCAGTCACAGTTTGGTATTAATGGATTTTAAATTTGCTAATATCATTAAAGCAAACAGGTATGAATCAAAGACAGGAGAAAGAGATATATGCTGTTTGGACTGTTTGTATGTACTCATCTGATTCAATTGCTTTGACTATGTAACAACTATACTAATTTTTAAACATTCTAGTTGGTTATATGGTCAAAGAATTTTAGTGAAGGCTACATTTACTAGCACAAAACGTTTTTATTAAATAGAGATACTTCATAAGCAGTGAAAGAAAAAATAGGTAGTTTACAATAAAAATAACAATGAAAATTTTGACTAGATATTTATTTTCTCAATTAGACAACTCCCCCGAATTCCCTTTTTTAGTTGACTTCCTGACAACTTCAGTGAAACAAATCATTCTGGGTTAGAGTTTTCCCCTGAGATGAACATCCCTGAAGAGCTGATTTTTATAGACCCTTTGTCTTTTGGAAATCCTCATCATTAACAAATTTTAATTCTGGTATTTACAGATTATAACACACTGGTTTGGGAAGCTGTGATTTTTAAAATCAGAACTTGTTTGTATCTAAGCAACCAAAATAAATAGCTCTATGCCATTCTCTTAGCTAGTCCTCAGTGTGTCAAATGAATCATTTATTATTTCATTAAAACCTTCTGAATTTAAGAAGCTTCTACATCTTTTTTGAAATTAAAAGGCCACACGAGGACTGTCATTCATTCACTTATTTATTTATGTATTCAATAAAATAGGCACAATTTCAAGGACTACTAATATCTTACTTCTGCGTTAGAAATTGCTACTCAGTTTTTTAAACACTTGGAAATGTTTTATTAGATTTATCTAGAAGCATGAGATCCATATTGTCTCTTGCCCACTATAAACAAACTATTTAAATGGTCTTATATAAATAATCACTTTAACATTTGCAGGACTCTTAAAGAGTTAATCTTCAGAAAAAATAATGTGTCCAGTGCTCATCTGGGGACTATGGAGAATACAAGAACCATTGGAACAATCTTTTGAAGTGATTGAAACAGAGACTGTTTAGCAGGCATTCAGCAAAATATTTGTTGAATGAAGAGAAGATGTCTGACATTGATATAAGCAAATGAATGGGTGTTCAGAGTTCCCTGTAAATCACACTCTTCAAGGGGCCAAGAGATAGTAAGGTTTCATGTAGCCCCCTCAGACTTTTGCACTTCACTTACTACCAGGGGTTTCTAATGCTTCTATTGTAGTCAGCATCATTCCTTCCCTCTTCTCCGACTCATTCATTTATTCATTGACTCATTCAGTCAATATTGTTGAATGGCTGTTTGCCAAGCTTCATACTAGGGATTTGTGACTTAGGTCAAGAAAGAGATGGTCTTAAGTTTTGGTAAAAGTTCACTGTGCATTACCACTCCTTAGTCTTTTAAGTCATGAACAATAGAAAAGAACAGCAGTGTAGTGTGACAGAAAAAGCAGAGATTTTAGAGCCATAAACTAAGTTGACAACATGGTCCTTCAAATTAATAGTTCTGTGGCTTATACAAACCACTTAAGAATTAGCCATAATGTCTATACAGTTTCTAATCTAGGACCTATCATGTCAGACTCAATAAAAATAGTCACGATTATTTTATAAAATGGTAACTTTGCCAATATACTTTGGTTGAAGATAAAAACATATTTGCTATTAATATACATGATGACCACACTGGGAAGTTTAGAAAAGTTGCTAATATAAAAAGTCCACATTCCAGGCAAGGAGAAGGTGCCATTCTCGAGGACATTCAGCCACTTTCAGGAGCACTCGATTCCATTTACCATTTTAATAAAAAAATAATAACACACACTTAATACCTGTTTTCAAATTATTTAATGAAATTGTGCTCAAAGGGATTCTTCAAAAAAGATCTCACCTACCATTTACTTTGTGATGTGAGAACAAATAGATACAAAATATAAATGGTCCCTCCCTGCTGTGCATGCATGATCCATTTTTATGTAAAGCTATAGTGCACAAATATTATTATGATAATAAAAAAACTAAGAAATCTGCATTGCTGATCAATGGATACAACAATATGCTACAGTAAGGTTGACAACTTAATGTGTGTATCAAGCAAGTTATCTGGTTAACTTTGTAAACAGACAAGTAAATTCATAAGTGTAATAATATTAAAGTCTATTATCCCATAAGAGTTCCTTTAAGATATTAATAACGTTTGTCAAGTTGCAAATATAGGCAAATAGAATTCATAGCATTGACATCCCAATAGATTCTAAATACAATTTTTAAATTTTACTGCTAATCAACACAAAAATGTTCACAGACAACCCAAATCTTACAGTAAATAAACTTATTTCAACTATGTTTTCTATAAATAGTATAGATAAATGAGTCTATATTTTTTTCCAAAGTACAAGTCTAAATGTGGGTAGAATTTTCCTTACTATCTCAAATATCAGACAAAATATATTTATTTTAAATGTGGTTTCTTGAAAACAGTGATTTTCTATCATTTTTCCTGAGCCTGTTTTCAAATGAGAAATGACCCTCAAATGAGAAATTGAAATATGCATAATACATAGGACCGACCAAAACTTCACTTATTCAAAAATTTCCCTACCTTTCAAATACATTAGCAACAGAATTTTCCCCTTGGGAATTTATAAATGGTACATTTCAAAACAATGAATGCTTCTAAACTTTTTTATCATGTAGCTGTTTGCTTTTGCTTTCAACTAAACAAAATATCCCCAAAAATCATGCATTACCAATAGGTTAAAATCTCCTAAAATCTTGCAATGAGGCACATAGTGACACAATCTGATATTTCTCCTTAAAACAGAGACCTTTCCAAGGACTGAAAGTTCTTTTAAATTCCAGAGAACCAATGCCTTTTTGAAAAAAATTCCATATCCAGCAAGAAAGCTTTTACTTTGTTGTATTTCTTGTTTAAATTAATTTTAAAAGTTATTTGCTTAGGGGAAAAAACGGAGCAGAAGGCAATGTTTATATATATATATATATATATTTCATTTAACTGTCTACACTTTGTAGAGAAACTGAAAACAACCAATTAATTAGTTGATGTTTTAATGTGAGAGGGAAAAATATACATATCATGAGAGGGAGAAGTCATTTACCATGAAACAAGATTGCCTAGGTCAATGTTTCTAAAGTGAGCTAGCTCCTCAGAACGAAGAATGCTAAGGGTGTTGTGTGCAAAATGGATTCTCTAGTCCAATGAAGCTTGAGAAATGCTTGTTCAACAAAGTTAAATAGGTAGTGAAGGACTTCTCAGAGCATTTAATATGTTAATGTCCATTCTAAATTACATCATATGTCATAATAGGCAGAATTTTCCAGAACTACTTAATAATAAAATATTTTTTTCCTTTCTTTTTCGCAGGGACAGGGGAATATGACTGAGCCATTAGCCAATATACTTGTACAACTACAACTAGATCTTGATTTTTTCTTATACACATTCCTTATGTGGCTTTGTAGCAATATTCAGGTGCCCCAAACCAAACATTTTTTTGGAGCTTTGATGGAAGGACTCCTTTAGCCACTTTACCTTAGTTAGAAATTTATAGTTCTCTTTTACATTTGGTGTTGTTTCTTTCAATGGACATTTGTTTTCTAATTTGCTACTTTCAGAGAAAGAAGTACCAACCTGAATGCTTCAAGGTACTCAATATCTCCCATGGGGGGATCAAGGCCACCTGTCCAGGCAATGTTTATATTGTATCCTTCTCCAAGGCCTGTTCCAACCTAGGAAGAGAAAAACCACACCACAGTGGGTAGAGGAGGGCACAGGAAAGAAAGCAAGAAGAGAGGAAAACAAACACATGTGAGCTCTTGAAATAAACATCAAACAACATGTCAAATCAGCCCAACCTTGCTTGACAACCAGTGCTCTGGGTTATGCACTTGTTCTGCACTGGTTCTTGGTCCCGTGGGACAATTCAGTAATCTCATGTAATTTAAAACACCAGCAAAGGACAAGAAAATTAGGGGTAATCATGCAATGCAATTACCTGAAAGATACAAATAAAAGTGGGGCTCTAAAGAAATAAACCGAACCTCATTTGGGGCTCCACTGCCAGGGAAAAAGTTCCCTTCATCATAGCGATGGAGTGAAATATACAGGATGCTGGGGTCAGCATAAAAGGCCTGCTGTGTACCGTTTCCATGGTGAACATCCTACAGGGAAAAGAAAACAGACGACAAATACAGTCACGTCTAACTCTGTGCTGAGACGATCTTTCTGATTTCTAGTTCCCTGTCTTTCTACCTCACCTTCCTCCTCATTTTCTGTCTTCTCACTGTGTCTCTCTTTCTTTCTCCTGTTCAGTCGGCTTCCACACCACCCCCTTTACTTCCTGAACTTTCAGGCAAATTACCCTTTAATGCACTCATTTTTTAAACTGGCTTCTAAAAATCAGGAAACCACAGCGAGCATGCCCTGGAGACTCCAGATGAGCAGTCATTGAGAAAGCCCAGTCCTTTGGTACAATTAGATATTTATACACCGGCCCTTTGTACTCTTTGCTTCAGTGATGGAATCTCGCATCCTGTTTTATGGAGGAATTTTATGACTTATTAACTGCCAACAGTTCATAACCCCTCAGGCTTAATTAACTAGCCTCATTGGCCTCTGAAGAAAGACTAATGTTTAAACTACAAACTAGTATTTTGCAGAAGGATCTATGGCTTACAGAGCATTTTCGCAATTCTTGACAGAACACTAAACATACGTGTATGCATTGATTTGCCAAGTCCCACCATTAAGGTCAAAGGCTTTGCAACCAGCTGAGTAAATTGGCTTTCTTGAAGCAGTCAGTTCAGTTAGCAATCCCTCAGCAGTTAGAATCACTTGAAAAGAGATGCCAGATGCAAAATGGACTTCATACTTTATTTTGGTAAAATCGTGACAGTAAGATTCAAAGACACAGGAGCATGAGCTCATTAGCTATTAAATCATTTGGGTCAAAGCAGAAAGATGGCATGGGGCTTTATGCAATCTTGTCCAATCTGCCTAATTTTAATATTATAACATGGCTCTCTTCCCAGCTTCCTTTCTCCTCTTTTTTCTTTACCCACACCATTCCCTCTTGCTGCTAAAAAAGAAAAAAGCCTGTGTCATTAGATGAATGAAAAAAATTCTTAGGATATTTGAATATCATAATGATTCAAAACTTAGTTCTTTTTCTTAATTGTTTTATGATATAGACATATGCTGGAATTGACAAAAGAAATAGGAAAAATAAAATTAACAGCATTTTAAAAAACTTTTCAGTAAAAGACCTCAAGTGTTAAGCATCTCAATTAACATGCTTCCTAATATCTTCTGGACAAAAATAAAATAGACGACTCTTAAAAGTGAATAATGTACATATTTGTATTTAATAGAATATACTGCCACATATATAATATATACAGTTTTGAGTTTTGTTGTAAAAAAGTTTTGGTCACTTGTAACTATATACTTATATTGTACTTTATATCAGTGAGAATCACACTATTTTCCACAACAATTCCTACAATCTTTGAGTCAGGCACTATATTAAATACCTTGCATAGATTATTTAACAATTCTATGAGGTATATGGTATTATCTCTAATTTAGAAGACAGGTAAACTGAGACTCACTTAGAGAGTTTCAGTAATTTACTAAGAACATACAGCCAGTAAGTTGCAAGAATGGCTCTTGAATCCACTTCTCACTCCAAAGGCCAAACGCATAACCATTATACTGTTAACTTACATTCATTATCTCTTTGATCCTCTTACAAGCCCATGAGGTGAGATTGGTGTTCATTATTGCTCCTTATTGAGGTTTATAGAACTTGTCTCCACTTCAACCTCCAGCCCAGAACTCCCTCACAAGACACCCCCAAAGCTTCCCTTCAATGGGTTCTGAAAGCCTGCACTGAGCTTGCTATCCACAGTGTATATATACACTAATCTTCTTCCTCTTTTATATCATACACATATCCAAAATCAGTTAAGAAATCATAAAATATTGGGGAAGATAGGCAGCATTCTAGAAACTTGTTCCTGCTAAAGGCATACACATCAGGAAAAAAAAGTTTACAAAAAATATAGTAATTCCTGGATTTCTGAATGTTCAAAGGAAAGGAAAGAGGAGATAGCAAAACTATTTTCCTTTATGGGAACAAAAATGAAACAACTTAAGCTAAAATGTCTTTTAAGTTTGCTACTGAATACCTAGAGGATTATCAAACAAAATACATTGAAAACAACAGTGAAAGAACGTTTGCATTTCCACTATACAATAGAATTTTTAGTTAGTATTGTAAGAAAAGTTTTGCTCCGGCCCTAAATGCATTCACACTTTGAAAACCAGAATAATATTTCCTTGATTAATTTTGTTTCTTTAATGATGTTGTGAAGGCTTATTTAAGAAGGTCAAATAAAAGATGATAATTTGTCTTTAGAAAAATGTTTTGGGTGCTTAGTGTTGCATAAATTTCTGAATAAGAAATATAGTCTTGCCCACAGCATAATAAACTGTCAAAGACATTATTCACTAAATACACAAATCCATTCTAACAATACTTGGATAATTTTTTATCCCATATTCATATTCACAAAGTATCTAGAGATAAAGATAAGTTCAAATATGTCTTTTGTTTTGGGCAACAAGTTACAATATAACCTTGTGAATTTTTTTTGTTCTTTTTTTATTCAGCTTTCTCTACTGCAAAATATTCATACAAAGTATCTACTGCTCAGGTAAGATCTGAGGATTTTTTCTCTCCATAGCAACAAGTATATACTAGACTAATATAAGAACATTATTGGTGATTATGAGGAATTACTATAGTAAGGAAATGAACTGAATCATTAAATGCCTCAAAATAGACCTTGCATCTAAAGTGTTGCTGGAAAATGCTGAAAAATTATTTCAATATTTTACTAATTAAAAATATACTCTGAACATTTACTCTATACAAGGATTTAGCATGCATATATTTTCATTACAATGTTAAAATAGCTTTGAATAAATCATATATTCTACCAGCTAATGTTATCACTTGTAATTATTTAGTATAGGCACTCGTGACAAGGCTCTTTGGATAAGTTTGGTACATCACCAAAAATGGATTGCCCAAAATGTAAGGACATTTTAAGTGACTCTTCTTTTATGAAGAAAGCCTAAAACATGTTATTTTCAACTGAAAGTCACATTACATAAAAGCTACCTGAGTCACGCAGGCAAATCCTACTTCTAGGACAGGTTCATGCCCTGAACACATGATGGCCAGTCTCTTGCAAGTTGCACCTGTTCCCTCTCCTCACCAATCTGAAGGTCTTTGGAATCTGCCCCAGAAGGTGAACTGGAATGAATAAGCTTCTCAGATCAACTGGAATCATTCCTGCCTAAAATACTCAACGCCTCTGAATTTGGCTGTGGTCCCAAAAAGGAGGTGAATTAGAGCTCTGGCTCCCTATTTCCTAGGCATATAAAAACGCTGAAGGTAGCTGCCGGACAATGGACTAGTTCTGTCTTCTCTTGGCCCAAGATTTTGTGGAGCCGGTTCACATCCATTAACTAAAGTTAGTGATTTTGGATATGCAGGAATGAAGCTTTTTTTTGCCATTGAAGAACCTTTTCCTCTTCTCCTTTGCTAACTTGCAGAATAGACCTGTCAGCCAGGAAGAACGGATGTTTCAGCGCCACGTGGCACTTTAAAACTTCCTTCTCAGCAGCTGAAAGAAACAGGGGAATTTCCTCAAAGTATCCTGCAGCTGCAGAATTTGGAAGACTTAAAAGAAAGAATATGCCGGCTGGTGGTGATCTCAGAGGCAACCCTTTGGACAGAGCTTCATATATTCAGAGAATTTGAAACAAAAACTTCTCCTCTACTACAGCCTGCTGGGAACTCAGTATCCTTGATGATTGGATAATGAAGCAAATTCATAATCAAAGGCCAGTAAGCTTACAGGACTCTCCTTGGAGCTACCAAGCAACTTATTTTATAAATCATATTAAATTATCTCCAGAAGTCTTTTATTCTTATATTAGCATACAAACCTTTACACACAAATCCTCTGAGAAACAAAGTATCCATCTATCACAAGCTAGGCATTTCAGCTTTCAAGTCTATTGTACAATTCATTCCTTTAGAGTTTGGACGTCATAAATGTGCTTTCAAAGGGGACTCAACAATTATCTTCACAGAACCATAAAATGGTAGCAGAAGAGACTCCTCAGAAAGTAATACTAAAATGATTCAGAAGGATAGGATGAACAGTTTACCAACTTATCTTTTGTCTTCATCTGCTGTACTTTATTCAAGTTTGTGGCTTATCTCTCTAGCAGAACTTACAATACTAGAGCATATTAAATAAAAAATTTTTTAAAATTTACTGTCTTATAAGTCATGCAAACCAGTTATTTATTATTTAATTAATTTAATAATTATTTAAAATGTCATTTTGTATATATAAAATAGGGAAAATAGGTACTGATTCCTCATTTTCATAAAATTTTAAGACCCTGCTGCTGTAGTATATCTAGGCCTTCAACACATTTTTTTAATGGTGAACTATGACCTACATTGAAACCTAAGCATATTTGGAAAAGACATGGAAAGTTGGCTTTCAATATTCTCAGCTCCAAAGTGCTTGCAGGAAAGCTACAATTCAGCGTGTGGAAAACATCTATTCCTACCAAGCACTAGAATTGGTTATCCGTCTTTCATTCCTTTTATCTTCATTTTACGCTAACTAAGTATTTCTTCACATGGCTTTGTTTGTGCTCTCTCAACCCTTTGGTGTGCCTGCTTAACTGAATCCGAGGACTGGACGGTGAGGCCATGACTTCCCAATAAGATTTAATTATGAGTGCAGATATGAACAAGATTTAGACTATTAAGCCTTGCACTTCAAAAAAACCTTTAACATATTTTGCCTTTAAATCTTTTATCACCTGCAAAAATTAATTAAGTGCAGATGTAGCAGGTTCGCTTTGGATGCCAGGGTTCATTTCCTGTCTATGCTTTGTCAGACAACCTATTACACCTCCTCATGAACTGGAGGCAAACCGAAAACGGGGCTCATAAATCACCAGTCAGCTCTAGTTCGCCCTGTCCTGGGTTGGTCCTTTTGTATGGGACAGATCTCCAGCTCATTACTCACGGATATACTATAGACAACATGCCAAGTGTCATCTGCATTTAAACAAACCATTTGTTAAACAAATTATAACTCTATTGTGTAAGAATGCATCATGTTAAAATGCAAGACTAACCTAATGCCTCTGACTTTTAATCACTAAAGGTTCCTGCCGGGAGTCATCCCAAACTGGCATACGTGATCTGAGATCTTTTCAGAAAGAATGACATGCTGACTTGTTTTAATAATACCACTCTTGCACAACAAGTGACATGATTGCTAACCAGGGGAAGTAGCCAATTGGTTACCAAAGCAACAGCATTCTTTCCAGCACATCTGACTATTTAAAGTCTATATTCTGTAGGGAAAAGTAAATTCAGGTTCTGTTGGGTTATTTTAACTGTGGAAGTATCAATTCATTTAAGGATCATAAAAGTTGCCCTGATCTGCGCCTTCTTCTCATTAAATTGCAGTTAACACCATGAAAGTGAAACGTGAATGTTTATGGTTTCAGAACTGCAATCTTGAATTTAATGAGTTTCCACATTCAAAGGAAACGCACCCTTCAGTTATTTGTAAGTGCTAAAAGCAAGACAACCTAACAGAGAAATATAAATTCACTCCCTTTTATCTAGAGTTACTGAAAATGCAGCTCTGGCCAGGAATACATACCAGATCTACAATCAATATCTTGCTTATATTTAGTTGGTCTCTCAAGTATTTGGCGGTAATTGCAACCGAATTAAAAAAGCAGAACCCCCTGCGGAATAGAGAAGAACAGAGAAATAAGAAAGCAAATCAGCCAGGAAAACCATTATAAATAATGTTCAGAGCATTTTTAAAAATGCTATATGATCTCTGAAGCCATAAATCTGCTTCTGGGAGTACCTCGCAAGATTTTTCAGTCCATCTGTTAACAATTAGAGGCTTCAGAGACATGCACAGGGCAGGTGACCGCCAGGAACCGTGGCGCTTGAAGATGGGCAACAGTTCCTATACTTACATGGCTGTGGATTCTTCAGCGTGATGGCCAGGGGGCCTCACAACAGCAAACCCATTCTGCAAGAACAAGACAGGTTTTCATTGATCAGCTATGGGGGTATTGCTTGGATCTCCATGTACTACAGAACATCAGGAATACACAAAAAAGACTGAGGTCTATAAGTGGCTTCAGAGCTTGTTTTCTTGCTCCCATTACCGATTCATAGAATGAACAGAAACAATATATATCATCACATTTTCTCAGATAGTGTCTCAAAAAGAAGGCTCCCACAGAGCAAGGAGAACAGGAACTTGGGAGTTGTGCCTAGCTGGTAAATGTGCATGTCAGCTGTTAGACTAGCATGATCCACTTTCAAGAACAATTTATTTTATGACACCAACATCCTACATAGGGAGAAGAAATTTACTCTTGGTGCAGGTTTGAGTCAAAGTTCGGAAAGACCAGGGAAGATCCAAAGTCAAAATTCTTTAGCTGGATTCCCACAATGGTTATTTCCACTACAATGTCAGCAAAATGATAAATTTACACTCACGCACTCACATACACACAAAAGAAACCCCAGAAAGGTGAAAAAGAGAACAATGGAAAGCCCATATTTCTTCCAGTCTATAAATTTAGCTTGGACGACTGCCAAGACTTGCAACTTTATTGGATTCCCTAAGTCAATTTCTAGTGCACATTCTGGAATTTTATAAAGAATTCCAGGGCTGAATAGCAATCAGATCTATCCATGATCAAGGAATGCCTTAACCTCCAGATTAGTTGGAATGCATCACGGAAAGCTGAAGTAACTCCAGCATGAAGGCAAGGAACTATAAATCCTTGCAAAGCCAGCATGCTCAGAAAAGTTGGGTTGCTTGACATGAAAAAAAAAAAATCATTTATCAGATGTTTCACACCACCTTTCACTTAACTATGATTCAAGTAACATTCTCAAAGGAGAATGTTTCTTTAATACATGATCCCAAAACTTTTGAAATAATTTTACTATACCTCAGGGATATTTTTTTCAAATCTTACTACAAGCATAAAGATAATATTAAGAAAAAAAATCTATTCCCTAGGGCTTTAAATATATATAAGCTTTTGCAGAACCTTATGGTAATTAACACACAATGAGTTAATTTGCTATATATTTTCATTCATATACATAATAATATTCTCAGAAGCAAATCAGAAGTCAAATAATACAATATCAATTACTAATCTAGGAATGGTGATAAACATATTCCCTGTTCTTGTCTTAAGATGCTTACTACCTCCCTGGTAATAAGAGACTAACATGAAAGAAACTATTAATGAACAACATAAGACAACAGACACTGAAATTTTAAGATTGTAGAGCAGGACTCTAGAGCGCTATAGAACTTCTGAGAAAGGAGAATACTGTAAAGATTAGAGGGGTGCAATATATTTTATTGGGAAAATAATATGGTGAAAATAACAACAAATATAATATAAGGCAATATAATTAGCATGTTACAAACATAATTAGCTTAATAGTATTATCTTTTATAATTCAATTACAAATACCTGGTTTTATGGGTAAAGGGTATGACTAGACAATACAAAGAAGAAAACATCCAGTGATCAATATCTATCAGAAAAAATACTCAATTAGTAATTAAATAAACACAGATGAAAATCCCAATGGGAAGCCATTTTTCCACTCAGGAAATTAGAACTTTTAAAAATACTCTATGCTGACAACGGAGTGGTGCCTTATGTACTCATAAAGGCTGCCTGTAGGAGGATAATTTATCACAGCCTTTCTGGAAAATAATCCACCTCTATATCTCTATACCCTTTTAAAAAACATTTTCCCTTTGCATTAGTAATCTACTTAGATAATTCTGGCCCCAAAGGTGTTATTAACTGTGTAGACATGTATTTATGTCAAAGATAATGTTTTATTTACAATAGGAGAAAATGGGAATTATCTAAATCGGCCAATATTAGGAGAATGGTTAAATGAAATATGGTATATCTATACCATGGAATATTAGACAGTCATTAAAATTTTATTATAAATATTTAAAGTCACAGAAAAGACATCAATTTTAGAAATATTAGTGTTAAAAATAATACACATAGTATGAATATCTGAGTAATGGTATTATGTGCATTATTTTTAATTCATAATTTCATATATTTTCCAAATGGTTTTACAACAAATATTAATTATTTCAGAGTGAAAAAAATTATAAAATAAAGAGAAAGTTGAGGGGCTGGCCCCGTGGCCGAGTGGTTAAGTTCGCGCGCTCCGCTGCAGGCGGCCCAGTGTTTCGTCGGTTCGAATCCTGGGCGCGGACATGGCACTGCTCGTCAGACCACGCTGAGGCAGCGTCCCACATGCCACAACTAGAGGAACCCACAACGAAGAATACACAACTATGTACCGGGGGGCTTTGGGGAGAAAAAGGAAAAAATAAAATCTTTAAAAAAAAAATTAAAAAAAAAAAAAAAAGTTGAGAGGTATATTTTAATGAGTGTTACAGAAACAGTTGTGTTCACAAAGGTCGAAAAAGGATGTAAAGGGTATTTGGGGCAGGGGGAAAAGCATAAACAATGGCTCAGAAGAAAGGACTTCAGAAAGTACTATATATACAGGAAATCAGTCTAAATAGAGTTCACTTTAAGGAACAAAATGGAAGTGAAATCTCACAGGTAATTAGCAACATTCTGGAGGAGAAAAAGCCAAATAGAATTTGAATTCCATCTTCCTCTTTTCTCTTACAGCCAAATTCCTTGAACTAAGGGCCTGCCTTTCCTTTTATAATCTTCCACAGTAACTTCCACCATTCTGCTAAATTGTTTCTGAAACTGCTTGATTTGGGGTTGAAAATTTTCTTCTTTTTGTCAATTATAAACCTTTTCTCAGTAATCATGACCCACTCAAACTTTCCATTGTGCTCCCAGGAATGGCCAACTCCCCTACATTTTCCATGTCTTGTCTGAGTGCCCCGCTTTCCTTAGCTGAAACCTGGCAAGGCTACTTCTCTCACAATCTGCTTAAGCGGTAGCTGTTTCCTTTCTCAAACCTCACAAACCTTCCTGCAGCGTAAGATGGAGCTAGTGTTCTCCTTTCTCACTGCTGCTTTGAGAGCTGGAGGCCCACTGCACCCACCCACCACAACACTCTCTTGTGAAAAAGGATTAGATCACCCAGAAAGAGAGAAGATAGAATACAATAAAATAACCAAGACTGAGTCCTGGGCAGTCTGGCTCCTTTGCCCTCCTGTTACACTAGAACATGTGTTAGTCCTCCTAAAATCTATCTCCCCACCCACAGTTAGGATCTCATCCCCTCTTACTTTTCCACTATCATTTATGTTTTTCTCAATAACATAGTAAATTCATATTAAAATTCCCAATTATACACAATTCATTGAAATTTAAATAGACTCAAGTTTATGCCACCTTGACAATAAAAGTATATACGTATATGTTCAGTAACACAATACAAATATATATGTATACATACAATATACTATATATATATCTCCATCCTTAATCCCATTGATCTCTCCAACTGCCACACTTCTTTTCTTCCACTTTTAACAGCTAAAATTCTTTAAGGTGGTTTATCCTGCTTTCTCTTTTCTCCTTTTCCTCACCTCTGCCTCAGTCACCTATCTCTAATTTATCTTCCATCTCCATTAGTCCACTAAAGAAGCTTTTACTAAGGTCTCCAAAGGCCTCTGTGTCACTAAATCCAATGACATTTTTATGCTCTCAGCCTATGTGATCCCTCATTAGCTTTCAACACTATTGGCTATATCGTCTTTTTTAAACATTCTCTTCCCTTGGCTTCTGTAACTTCATACTCTTCTGATTTCCTTCTCTCTCTTTCTACTTCCTAATAAGTCTCCCTTGAAGGCTCATACTCCTCAGTCGGCTCATTAAGTATTGACATTACTCAAGGCCCAGTCTTAGACTTCTCTTTTCCTCTTTCCACACTTACTTCCTAGCCAACGCTACCACTCTCATGGATTCAATCACCAACTATGATCAGATACTTTACAGATTTCTATTTCTGTTTTTTAGTTTTTATTTTTAATTTCTTTTCAAATTCTTTTTCTTTTTTTAGATTGGCACCTGAGCTAACATCTGCTGCTAATCGTTTTTTTTTCTTCTCCTCCAAAAAGCACCCCCAGTACATAGCTGTATACTCTAGTTATAGGTCCTTCTGGTTGTGCCATGTGGGACGCTGCCTCAGCATGGCCTGATGAGCAATGCTAGGTCCACGGCCAGGATCCAAACCAGTGAAACCCTGGGCCATCGAAGTAGAGTTTGAACTTAATCACTGGCAATGGACTAGCCCACAGATTTCTATTTGCAAGATGAATCCTCCCCTGACCACCAGACCAAAATATCAGCCCACCTACTTGATATCTTCATTTGGATATCTCAAAGTCACTTCAAATTCGATATATCCAGGTTCAAACTCCTGATCTTCTCTCAGTCTTCTCTAACTTACCAATGATACAATAATTCATCCAGTGGCTCAAGTCAGGGATTAATGAGTTATCCTTTATGGCTTCCTCTTCCTATTCTTCCTCCATCTCATTTTAATTCACGACCAATTCCTGTTGATTTTGCTTCTAAATATCACTCAAATCTATGTACAGTAGTCCCTTCTTATCTGTGAGGGATACTTCCAAGACCTCCAGTAGATGCCTGAAACCATGGGTAGTCCTGAACCCTATATATACTATACTGGTAGCCCTTCGTATCCACATATTCCGCATCCTTGGGTTCAACCAGTCATGAATGAAAAGGCCTACGATGGCTGCGTCTGTATTGAACATGTACACACATTTTTTGGGTCATTATTCCCTAAACAATATAATATAACTATTTATGTAGCATTTACATTGTATGAGGTATTATAAGTAATCTAGCAATGATTTAAAGTATATGGGAGGATTTCATAGGTTATATCAAATACCACACCATTTTATACAAGGAACTTGAATGCCCATGGATTTTGGTATCTGTGAGGGATACTGGAACAAATCCCCCACAGAAACTGAGGGAAAACTGTACATACGTA